CAGACTATTCAGAATTACATGCGTTTGTTAAAATGGACTTTGTCTCCTGGAGCGTTAGATTCTATATACAAAACTTTTATAGTTGCCAACTTTAATTATGTAAGCGAAATTTATTCTCTAACTATGTAAGAAAATATTAAAAAGTTGGAGAGGATTCAATACCAAGTTGCACTAACAGTCACAGGTACTATGCGAGGGTCGTCGACAGATAAGGTCTTGAAGGATTTAGAATGGTTAACAGTTTCACAGTTGTTTTATGTGAATAGAATGTGCCTATTCTATAAGATTCTTATGTGTTTTAGTCGTGTAAATCATTCGGTCCTCTAGTACACGTTACCTAATAAAACATTTACAAATCAAACATCAGCACAATCAATTGCATCAGCAACAACATCAAAATCAACAAAGAAAAAAATAGCAAAAATATATATTTTATAACTAAAACAGCATATTTATCAGTTGAATTAAATGCACATAATTTATTGTATTTAATATTATTAGTTAAAGAAAAACAGTTACCGAAAGAATCATTAAATATTTATTTATTCAATTCACAATCGTGTGAAGATATGTTTCGGAATACACGACCATTAAGTGATGCTTATTCAACAATAATAAATTTTACAATTCATGATTTTTTTCGACGAGCTGAAAAATTATCATTATTAAATCATATAAAATGTACTGAATTAATAAATCAAAATGATGAAAATATATTATTTCCAATACATCATAAACATAAAACTGACAATGATTTATTAATAATACCAAATTTAGATGATATTACTCAATTAGATATAGAACAAATTATATTAGATTCGTATCTTACATCAATTAAATTAACTGAACGTTTAAATATAACAAGATTATTAAAAAAACATCGTGTTTATGAATTAGGACAGTTAAGTAAATTTATATTTAATAAATTAAAATCAAAATCAAAACTACATGATAATTTATCGCCAACACCAATAAATAACGTTGATGATGATAGCACTGATTCAAAATCTGATGATTCTGAATTAAATGATGACGCTGATAATGATGATGACAATGATAACACTAGTGATGAAGATAATGATTATATAACGGATGATGATGATGATAATGAAAATATCCAATGAACTAAAAAAAATTTTTCAGGGATACATATTAAAGATAAAATTAATCCTGATTTAACAAATTTATATTTTCAAATAAAAATTAATGATACTGATAAATATTTACATAAACAATCAGCAATATGGCTATTGACGGACAAAAATCATCGTATATCTACTGATAGATTATTACGTATAACTCAAACAAATACAAAAGAATAACAAAAAATTCATTTTCTCTTTTTTAGGGTTTTATTTTTTTTGTTATATTGTTTGTACAAATAAATAAAATGATATGAACATTTCTGATTATTATAAATACTCATTAGTTGATTATCGATATCAAAGAATGCCAACATTACATATTTTCGCATAAATTAAAGAAAACTCTTCATATTCTTGTGGAGTTCTCGGTACTCATATCGACCTGCTGCTGCTCCTTGGTACTCCATGGGGCTCCAAGGGACTCCGAGGGACTCCAACAGACTCCTGGACTCCTTAGAATTCACTGATCTTTTCACATAGTTAGAGAATAAATTTCGCTTACATAATTAAAGTTGGCAACTATAAAAGTTTTGTATATAGAATCTAACGCTCCAGGAGACAAAGTCCATTTTAACAAACGCATGTAATTCTGAATAGTCTG